AAAGAAATTGACAAGCCTGATTAGAGTGGTGCTGCTTGAGATGATATTGTGAGCACCTCTGACATTTCCAGTGCACCCTCAAAGTAGGTCTCAGAAAATACTGGGGGAAGGTCTTATTTTTACCTTCTTGTCTTTGTTCCTTTTCCCACCTCTGCGGCATTTCCTATGACTTGCTGTATTGCTGTCTTTCATTTGCACTCATGTTTCTAGAATGGATGGTGGTTGTTTTCTTTGTTAGTTTTGAGTCAGTTCCTGAAGGAGGAGAGACTGAGCCATGGAAAACTGCAGAGTGCCGTTATCATAGTCTTTAGCAACACCTAGCTCGCCAGGAACAGCTGACAGGAGATTCCAAAGCTGTTGCCCAGACTCATTCATTCAGCATTTAATCTGCAAATATTTGTTGAACACCTGTTGAGTGTCAGCTTTGAGGATAGTGATGAACCAGGATAGACTCTGTCTCTGCCTTGTGAAGCTTGTGGGTGCCTTTCTGGGGAGAAAGTGTTTACAGAAGTTGTAAGCACCCCCAATTCTGCTCTGCTGACTCTTACCTAATTACCATATCAGGGTGCATATGGGAGAGCAGGAAGTGAGCTGACAGATTTAACTTTTGAGTTTTATTTTCCTGTATTTCATGATACTTCCCTATCTTCCTGTGCTCCAGAACAGACAAATAAACATTTCATGCAAACATACCCCACAAGAAATGGAGTGTGAAACCCTACTCCCTCCATATAACTGGTTTCAGTGAGTCAGACAGAGAGGCCAACCCTCTGTGCATCCCTGGAGGTTGAGTACACCATCATGGACATAGGACACCCGAGTGATTTGGGGTGGGATTCTGACCTGGGGACCATTTAAACAGCATTACAACCTACATTTTGTTTTTTTGGGGGATTTTTATAGGCCAGGTACAAAGCAGAAAGTGCATAGAAGATGTGATTCACTTTGCCTGGGAAGAGAAGCTCTTTCTCCTGGCTGATGAGGTAAGAGCAGTCCCAGCTGCCCTCTCAGAGAGGGGTGGGGGTGAGCTTTCTCTTCTAGGGTGGGATCCAGGTTATGAATGTTTTATAGCCAGAGAGAACTTTCTAGATTTTGGAGAAATGATTCTGGTCAACAGTAAGGATGTTCATTCTTACAGCCTATGAGTCTGTGACCTAACTTATCCCTATATTGGTTTGGATACTAATTAGTTGTAAATTTCAGAAATTTACCACAAATCACTTAAACTATAAAATAAGTAAAATAAAGGAAGGGTCACAGATGTGTGGCTAGATCCAAGGACTCAAACCATATCTTCCATATTCTCTCTCCTCCTTTCATCTCTCTGTTTTGGCTTCAAAACATAGGCCTATTATCTTCCCAGCCCAGAAAGATTTTTTTTTTTAATATTTAGTTTTTAGTTGTAGTTGGACACAATACCTTTCTTTTATTTATTTTTTTGTGGTGCTGAGGATTTAACCCAGGGCCTTGCACATGCTAGGCAAGTGCTCTACCGCTGAGCCACAACCCCTGCCCCCAAGAGAGATTTTTTAAAACATATTTTTTAGTTGTAAATGGATCTTTCATTTTATTTATTTATTTATATGCAGTGCTGAGGATTGAACCCAGGGCCTCACAACTCCAGCCCCAGAAGGAGAGAATTTTGTCCTTGTAGTTTCAGCAAAAGTCTTAGAGTTGCACTTCATTGGCTCAGCCTATGCAATAGCTGAATCAGTCACTTTGGCCTGGGAATTGTAATATGCAACTTGGCCAGGCCCAGAGCAAGGGGCAAGATATGGGATTCCTCCCTGCCTATCTTCTGCAAATCTCCAAGTGGAAACCTGGGGAGTCATTCCTTAAGGGCAAATCATGATACTCTTAGAGAATGTGTGCCCCATGGCAGAAATGACAAATGACCCCTCCATAATGCTGCAGTTTTTTGCATAGTATTTCCATATCTACCATCTCATTAACTCTCTCAACAACCTGAAGAGGGTATCTTAATTAACCCTGTAACTGTTGCTTCTTGAACCCCAGTTCTGTAGCAGAGGCCTGCCCATTCTTCTTCTGCCTTTCAAGGAAGAAATTGAGGATCTATCAGTTCCATTTTCATTTCATCTTTATTTCTGTATGGTTTCTGGTTAGTTGTAGCTTCTAGCACACTACCTTCCTTTCTTTGTTCCTTGGCATTCCCACTTCAACTCCATGCATATACACAGCTTCCCCATTAGATTGTTGCCATAATTAACCATAGAAGGACCTAAAACTTTCATTTTTTTAAAGTATTTTTTATACCTTTATTTCACTTATTTATTTTTATGTGGTGCTGAGGATGGAACCCAGGGTCTCACACGTGCGAAGCGAGTGCTCTACCGCTGATCCACAACCCCAGCCCCAAAACTTTCATTTTTAAAGGAGAGAAGGGACCGCAGAGAGACCCATGGTTTTCCTTGTGACCTGATGCACAGCTTCCCCTCTGAGTCTGGGAGGAGGAGGAGGAAGAGGCTGGTGCTTGGCATGTTGAAGATGGAGCCTGCCTAACACTCCCAGTAGCCCTTTGGGCCCCTAGAAAGCTTCCATTTCCATGATTTCCAAAATGAGTGTGAGGAATTTAATCTCAAGAGCTAAATTTAATTTAACTCTCAGCTTGCAGGCTGTGGGTACTAGACTCTGGAGACTGGGGGGAACAAAATGGGTATGGGTGCTGGTTTGACAACAAAAAGTGGAGAGAAAAAATAATTGTAACCTGGGTGTTAGGAAGGAAACCAAACAGAGCTAACTGCTTAAACAGGGAGATCAGAGAACATTAATTGCTCATTAATATTATTAAAGGAAGGTTATCATTGTGCTTTTGGAAGAAAATTTTCTTGAGAATATGGGAGTTCTTGGTATCATCCCTGGTCTGAGAAGTTAGAGAGGAAGTCTGGAGATTGAGTGGGGATGAATGTGAGAGAAATCAAATGAACCCCTAAGATATCTTAAGGTCAGGGTCTAGCCTGAGGCCTCTTCTCTTTGCTTGTTCTGGAAGTTCCTTCAAGCAATATTTTGGTTCATTCCTGGAAGTGGCAGTGGAGGCTGGGCTGGCTGGGCTTTTCAGGTCTGGGCCTCAAACACACGATCTGTTGGTTATCCCTCAGCAAATGTGACCCATCCCCTGTGTTCTGCCATCTTGGCTGCACACAGCAGCAGCCCTCATGGGCTTAGATCTCTCAGAAGAACTTGCCTTAACTGTCCCTGTGGTGTCCTTCCCTGCAGGTATACCAGGACAACGTGTACTCTCCAGATTGCCGATTCCACTCCTTTAAGAAGGTGCTTTATGAGATGGGGCCTGAGTACTCTAGCAACGTGGAGCTCGCCTCCTTCCACTCCACCTCCAAGGGCTACATGGGCGAGTATGTTGGCTCCACCTCCACCCCTCACCCCTACTTTCCCTGGGCCTTCCTAGGGATTTCCCAATGCTGCTGTCTCCTCTTTGCCTTTTCCTCTGCCCTGCCCTATGGTCCACTCACTTGGCTGGAGGGAAGGCAGCCTTCAGCTGACCTAAGAATCAGGAGACAAGTCTGCACCACCCCCGAGAGGAGCTCAAGGGTATGAGAACCACCCTTCAACAGAGGCTCACACTTATAAGGCCATGCTTGAAAGAAACCAGACTGTGGATAAATGACAGAAATGAAAACAGGATCTCATAGTAGTTCCAACACCCAGAGTTTTCTGTCATGTCACTGTTGCTCTGACATTGATTAAAGTCTGCAAGGAGTACAGATTTGAGTTGACAAACAAATGCCATTAAACTGATGGGCCAAGCTCTGCATGGAAGGCTACCTTGA